AGCCACTGTGCTGCACATGTGTGTATTCATACAGAATAATACTGAATGTAACTGTAATTGGAAAAAAAGAGACAATTTATTATTTTTTTAATGCCTTACTCCAGACAGTTACTTACAACCTTGTGAGTTAAGGGCCTTATTAGCTGACCTGTTAGGAGAGGTCAACCCTTGAGTTAGGATTTGTGTAAGTTACAGAGGCATTCACTGCTTTTTGGCATCAAATACAAAGAAGACAAGGCCTTTCTTAAAAGTCCCAACATTATATAGTTCTACACTTTACCATTACCTTAAAGCAGTGGTTCTCAACCTTGGCTGCACATTAGAATCACCTGGGAATCTTTTTACAATCCTGATTTCTGGGCCTCATCCTCCGGAAATTCTGTTTCTTTGTTACTAATGTTGTGGCCCCACCCCATAACAAAGAAACAGAATTTCCGGAGGATGAAGCCCAGAAATCAGGATTTTAAAAAGATTCCCAGGTGATTCTAATGTGCAGCCAAGGTTGAGAACCACTGCCTTAAAGGGCTTTGTGGCCAGGCTGCCTCCGTTTGAATGCTGCCTCGCTCACTTCCTAAATGAGGCACTTGGAGCAAGTTAGTTAACCTTGTGAGGCCTCCTTTGTGAAATAGATACAGAAACAACACCTCCCTCAGAATCTCATTGTGAAGGTTAAGTTTGCTGGTGGATATAAAACTTAGGCCAGATCTAAAACTTAGTAAACACCCAGTAAAGATTAAATATTATAATTGCTCAAAATGATACCTATGATTTTAGAGCCTGTGTTAAATTTAAAGTGTGTGAAATTCAAAGAGTGGGAAATATACTTTAGACAAATGCATAAAGTTATATACCATATTAAATGTAAGAAATCATGCTGGTTTAGAACTTATTCTATCTCACAAGCAAAGATGAAGAGAAAAAAGCTGCACACTGACAGCTGGGGGATTTGACAAATGGGCAGCAAGAGAAAATCAATAAGAAAGTGAAATTCCTTTCTTCAGGCACATTCTGCACATGCAGGTTGAAGGGAAATGCGGCTGCACTTATGGCAGCAAAGTAAGCAGAATAACTGGGATTGGGAAATCTGTAGCCAACTAAAGTCACTGCATTTAGGTGGACAGCATGTTGGGAAATAATTAGGTCTGAAACTGTGGTTAACATTCAGCCTGCATTCACTCTGTTTCCTGAGAGTTTTAGCTTACGGAAGTCAAATGACTTTTTTTTTTTTTTTGCAGATGGAAAATTATGAGCTGTTTAGGGAAATAAGCACATGTCTTAATTGGGCAATGTCACCTTTTCCAAGAAAAGTGTAAATGAAACTTTAAAAAATAGTTTAGATAGAAAACAATTGATATGAACTTTCTCTCTCTCTTCCTTCTTTCCTTCCTTCCTTCCTTCCTTCCTTCCTTCCTTCCTTCCTTCCTTCCTTCCTTCCTTCCTCTCTCTCTCTCTTTTTCCTCCCTCCCCTCTCTCTCTCTCTCTTTATGTATTTCTCTCACTCTCTCTCCCTCTCTCCCTCTCCCTCTCTCCCTCTCTCCCTCTCTCCCTCTGTCACTATCATTTTGGGACCCTAATTTTGTAGTAGACTCTGACTTAGTCCTGCTATAATGATTTTGATGATTGAGAGGGTCCATGCAGGATATCCCATATGAAAATTCTGGTGACAAAAGACTTAATTAAAAATAGCAAATGGCTTTATTTATGAATGAATGCATTTAGGTTTAGGAAAGTGTAAATAACCATGCACATACTTTCAGAGAATTTGAGATCCTACTGATCCCCTCCAGAACCAAGTTAACATTTGTTGACTCAAATAAGTTGGTTTCCCATCTCTCCTGACTCATCTGGCTGGAACAAGTTTAATGCCAGTGTGGGATTGACCACATGATTCTTCTAGGAAAAGATAGGAAATGCATCAGTGTGATTTGAGCTCGTAAGTGTTGAGCAATGCTTCTTCATAGCGAATCCATTGTTCTACCTGCGGCACTTTATGCCAAACACAAGCCTTGTTTGGACACCAATCCTTCTTCCTTAATATTTGAAAATGCCTAAGTGTGGCCTTTGACTAGTTTAATGCCCTCATTTCCTCAAGTGTTCAGGGGGAGCATAAATCATTTATTAAAGATGACTATAGGGCAGCCGTGGGCAAACTACGGCCCGCGGGCCGGATCAGGCCCGTTTGAAATGAATAAAACTATTGAAAAAAAAGACCGTACCCTTTTATGTAATGATGTTTACTTTGAATTTATATTAGTTCACACAAACGCTCCATCCATGCTTTTGTTCTGGCCCTCCGGTCCAGTTTAAGAACCCATTGTGGCCCGCGAGTCAAAAAGTTTGCCCACCCCTGCTATAGGGTCACTTTTCAGAACTAGAAATGAGCTCACATGGTTGAGAGTAAGAGCAATGAGAGCGAATGCTCATTATGTGCCTACGCCTGAAGGGAGATGGGTGGGGGGCTCCAAGGTCCCGCTCACTGTCTTTCTCCTGGTTTTATTTGTATAGTCTGTGGAATTGATGCCCTATCAGAGCTCCTGGACTCCCTCCTTCCGTGAGACCGCATGATTTTGAAAACACTTAGAAGGATGAAGGGCTCAGACCTACTAAAGAAAATGCGATTAATCACAACTTCTTTTAAATCACTAGTTCATGAGCAGAAGGGGGGAAAAATGAGCATAGTGAAAGCAGGGAATTGTGACCAATGAGCATCAGTAGCACAAAACTAATAGAGGAGAGGAAGTGGGACTCAAACGGGACAACTATGCCCCTTTTCCTGAATGTTCACACCAGTTGAATGAACTATGTACGTATAAGAAGGAATGCAGGGGGGCAACTCTCCTGCAAAACTTTCCTGGGTCATCCCAAAAGAAGTACTGTCCCTCTCCACCCAATTATCATAGCACTTGTCATAGTAATTAACATCTGTTCTTCCTCTCAGTTATATGAGACTGGGAGAAAAAAAGAATATTAAAAATAAATCTAAATAAATGGATTTTATAAATTATTTTGATAGTGTGATCGATTATTTTGAGATAGTGATAGATAAGCTGAGACCTAAAGAATGAGCAAAAACTGGCTATGAAAGCAGGGGGGAAAGGATGATCCAGAGAGACTGGAGAGCATGTGCAGTCACCAAGAAAAGAGAGGATGTGGGGTGAGTACTGAGGAACTGAATGTAGGCCAGTTTGACTGGAACTTAGTGAATGTTCCATAGCAAAATAGAGCCTCAGGGAAGACAAATTCATGCCCAAAATAAATGTCCATTCCAATGAACAAAACATTGCTCCTTCCATAATGGAAGTGTTTCAGTGTAATAAACCTGCCACCAGGTAGCTGGCTGACCACCATGGGAAATGGTGGCATAAGGAGGCTCAGTGCTGGTCTCTGCTGCTGGCAGACCAGGCACTCAGCAGTGGCTCTAGCCAGGTCTCCTGGGCGAGTGACAGTCCATGTCACTGGGCCCATGCATAGCCTCCATCGCTGCCACCGTGGTCACTTTGTCCATCAGCCCTTTCGGTGACGACGGTGGGGGCGGGGAAAGAGGCTGACTGGTATCCACAGTACAGGTCATTCTATCTATTTGATTATTAAAATCCTCCTCTGCTAGCATCACCTGAGACACAAATATCTTCACAATTTTTGGCCATTCAGATAGGCCCATCCAAATACCTCTGCCCCAAATTTCTTTGTCCTCAATTTTTCAATTATTTTTTCTTACAAGTCCCAAACCAACCAGTTAAACTGTTGGCCATCCCACCACCCACTCCCACTTAAAAAAGGGGGGCGAAGGAGACCCTGACAACTACCCTAATTTCATTAGTTAAGTGATTTTTAAGTAGTTTTTTTTTTCCTGGAATATATTGCTTGACCAGACACAGATCAGAAACTATTTCTTACTTAATTATTGGAAAGTGTGAATCATAAAAGGTAATTGTCAATTAAAGATAGTTCTACTTCTAGAAGCATACTTAAAACCCAACACAAGATAATCACTTTGGTTATCCTATCACCTTGAGGGAAATAAGATTGTACCAAGTATCTTTATTACACTATGCCTTTTTATTTGCTTTTGTACATGAAACTCAGGGAAAAAACAAAGCTTAGAGAAAAAAAGCAATAAACAATGTACCAAAGTTATCACACAGTACTTTTTAATTTAATTCTGCTAAGGTTTAAAATTATGAAGTGGCAAAGTCTCTTTTACATTCTGTCCCCATTCCCCATCCCTCTTTGCCCACCTCTAGCTACCCCCACCGCTCCTTCTTTCTGGCTATCACTACAGAGTTGTCGGTGTCTATGTGTTTTAAATATACATGTTTTTTCCTTAATCCCTTTACCTCTTTCTGACAGCTGTCACTCTGTTCTATTATCCATGCCTCTGTTTCTATTTTGTTCATCAGTTTATTTTTGTTCATTAGATTCCACACATAAGTGAGATCACATGGTATTTGTCATTTCTCTGACTGGCTTGTTTCACTTAGCATAATAATTTCCAGGTCCATCCATGCTGTCTCCAAAGTAAGAGTTCCTATTTTTTTATGGCTGAGGTGTATTTCACTGTTCTCCACAGTGACTGCACCAGTCTGCATTCCCACCAGCAGTGCACGTGAGTTTCCTCTTCTTCACATCTCCTTGCCAGCACTTGTTGTTTGTTGATTTATTGATGACAGCCATTCTGACAGGTATGAAGTAATACCTCATTGTCGTTTTAATTCGCATCTCACTGATGATTAGTAATTGTGAGCATTTTTTCATATGTCTATTGGCCATCTGTATGTCCTCTTTGGAGAAGTGTCTATTCAGGTCCTGTGTCCATTTTTCAATTGGATTGTCTGTTTTCCTGGTGCTGAGTTGCATAAGTTATTTATATATTTTGGAAATTAACCCCTTACCAGACATATCATTGGAAAATTTGTTCTCCCATTCACTGGGTTCCTTTTTCATTTTGTTGATGGTTTCTTTTGTTGTGCAAAAGATTTTTAGTTTGATGAAGTCCCACTTGTATATTTTTTCCTTTGTAGCTTTTGCCTGAGGAGATATATTGCAAAAATATTGTTATGAGAGATGTCTGAGGTTGTACTGCCTATGTTTTCTTCTATGATTTTTTATAGTTTTGTGATTTACATTTATGTTTTAAATCCATTTTGGGTTTATTCCTGCATATGGTGTAAATTGGTGGTCTAGTTTCAAATTTTTGCATGTACCTGTTCAATTTTCCCAAAACCATTTATTGAAGACACTGTCTTTACTCTATGGTATGCTTTTGTCACCTTTCTCAAATACTAATTGACCATAAAGGCATGAGTCTATTTCTGGGCTTTCTTTTCTGTTCCACTGATCTATATGCCTGTCCTGTGCCAATGCCAGGCTGTTTTGATTATAATGGCCTTAGTTTGATATCAGGTAGTGTAATACCTCCAACTTTGTTTTTCTTTCTCAAGATTTCTGAGGCTATTTGGAGTCTTTGCGTGGGGTGATGATGTTTTATTGAGTTATAAACTTGAACCCTGTATGGTTTTGTGAACCAATGTCACCCCAATACATTCAATTTAAAAAATGTTACATTCTGTATGAGTCCACTTACAAGACATTCTTGAAAAAGCAATATGATAGTGATGGAGAATAGATCAGTGAATGCCAAGGGTTAGGAATGGGGTTAAGGGAAGGGGTAAGAGTGTGACTATAGGAAAAAAATGTTTTGGGGGTGATGGAACTGTTCTGCATCCTGATTGTACTGACAGTGACTACATGAGTGTATACATGTGTTAAAATCACAGAGCTGTAACCTTTAAGAAGAGATCAATTTTACTGTATGATTTTTAAAGATAAAAACATCAGCACTAAAAGAAATACAACCATAAAGTGGCAAAAATATTTTAATTTGTATCTTAATATTATGGTGTAATTAATTTAATTATTTTTTACAACAAAGGAAATAGGATATGTAACCATGTACTGGTTGGTAACTATCAGGAATTCATTCATTCAGTTAACAAAACTGCAGTGAGCCAAACAAAGCTTCTGCCTTCAAGTACTATAAATTCTGATAGTGAGGTTAACTATAAAAAAGGTTAACAAAAAATATATAACATTGTGTAATAAGTGTCTTAAAATAGTGGATTGTGTTCATAGTGTCATCAAAATATTTATATTCAAATTCAGCTGTTATGAAAACTTATTTTTGCCTTTTTAGAAAATTCTCCTTTGTAAAAATGCTCCTTTGTAAAATATGCTCCTTTGTAAAATATAAGCCACATAGTTTGCTTCCTGTTTGGAAAGTAACTTGGAGCTAAAGAAGAAGGCATCGAGCAGTTATTTTTGGTTCTAGTTCATGCAGCTTTTTTCAAATATGTGAAGTTAGGTTTGGTGAGAAAGCTCTTGTCTCTTTGACTTCCTGTTTAAATAGTAAAACAGAAGCCCAGAAAGGTCTGCTATGACCAAACGATAATGACAGTGTATTCATTGGGGAACTTTATTTTTCCCTTGCCCATAAGCATAGCCTTAGGAGGATGAAACCCTCACCACAGTACATGTGTACATTTTGCTGAACTGACAAAAATTGCCTAATCCAAATCCTTATCTTTGAAGTTGGGAATTACACTGGAAAACCTAACGGAAACTGACAAAGACTACAGTTATAAAATATTTAATATTTGAGCCTTCCCTCCCTGCTCCCAAGTTAGTTGTTTGGAATCGTAATTACTAGAGGCAAAATTCAATAATATTTTAAGTATTCATTCTTCAAAAACTGGCCACTAGATGGTGAATTCTATTCTTGTTATATGTCATTATTTAGCTGGCTAAGAAAAATAAAATAAAATAAATAATATAAATAAATAAGTAACCCTGTTCCATAGTAATTTGTTTTCTATGTTAGATAAGACAGTTAAGTGTGTTTTAGAGGTCCTGAAGTATTTAGACTGAGAGGATTCTAGTCTACTTTCATCCTTTCCAGTATCGTTAACATTAGTACTAAGGTATTTTTTATTGACTAGAGGCCTGGTGTACGAGATTCATACACTCGGGGGTCGGTGGGAGGTCCCTCAGCCTGGCCTACACCCTCTCGCAGTACGGGAGCCCTCGGGGGATGTCCAACTGACAGCATAGGCCTGGAGCGGGCCTAAGCCAGCAGTTGGACATTCTTAGTGCTGCTGCAGAGGTGGGAGAGGCTCCTGCCACAGCCACTGCACTTGCCAACTATAAGCCTGGCCCAGGGCTTCTGTTCCTCTTGTGGGAGTGCACTGACCACCAGGGGGCAGCTTCTGCATTGAGCGTCTGCCCCCTGGTGGTCAGTGTGCATTATAGCAACTGGTCATTCCGCATTTGGTTGATTTGCATATTAGGGTTTTATTATATAGGATAAGTGTGCATTAGTGCAATTTAAAATGTTACAGTATTAGCATCAAAATTCTTAGAGGACCAATCTTAGAGAAACTATAAGGACTAATCAAGAGCAATTCTGAGCTCAGTTGCAGTGGTTCTGTGTAATTGTATTGTATTAATGTGAGATTCAGTGTAAAGTAATAGACCAAATGACAACTACCTATTAGACATTTTTCTTCCTTTGTATCTACTTAAGATTCACTTTCCAGGCACTCCAAAATTCTTTGGGCCCTTAAGGGCAGTAACTAACTTTCTTATAGGGCATTCGTTCAGTTCCATCTGGTTACACCAGCAATCCCAGTGGCAACTGCTTGGATATCTTCAGGTCTTTCATACTCTCCTCTTGCTCTGGTATCTGTACCTGTTAAGTTTTTAGTTTTTACCTCCCCCTCAATTCTTGCAACTGCAGTCCTTTCTCTAAATTACTTTGCTCCACTCTGAACACTAACTGACCTGATTCCTTCATTGACCAAAATATCAAGATAAGACATTTGTATTTAGCAGAATATATTGAAGTTTCCAAGTTGTAAAGTGGAGTCACAGTATTACTGACTATAAGCCAAAAGTTAAAATTTAATAATAGCCATCATGGTTCTACCATGACCTCCATGAGCCATCCATCCACCATTTTTTACTGGCTGTCTCTCCTTAGGCTTACTGCCTTCACTTCTGGTCACTGCCTCACTCTCCCCTGCATTTCCCCTGTGACCTGTTGTATTAGTTTGCTAGGGTTGCCATAACAAAATACCACAGACTGGGCTTAAGCAACAGAAATGTATTGTCTCCCAGTTCCAGAGGCCAGAAGTCCACAATCAAGGTGCTGGCAGGTTTGTTTTCTTTGTAGGCCTCTCTGTTTGGCTTGCAGATGGCCGTCTTCCCTGAGTCCTCACATGGCCTTTCCTCACTGTGTGCATTGCATCCCTGGTACCTGTTCTGTGTCTTTATCTCCTCTTCTTCTATGGATATCCTAACAGCCTTATAATTTGAGTACCTCTTTAAAGGCCCTATCTTGAAAGGTAGTCACAGTCTGAGGTACTGGGGTTTAAGGCTTCAACATGTGAATTTAGAGGGGACACAACCTAGTCCATAACTTCTTCCAAGTTCTTTCTCTTCTTCTCTTCCATTGCCAGCCTCCAATTCCCAAATTTCGGTTCCATTTCTAAAGCAGAGCACCTGTATTTGCCATTAAATACGTCTGTGTATGTTTAAAACAAAATGATATCTACTTTTGAACTCATTTTTTAGCAATACAAAACTCAGGTGAAAGTTTCAAAATTACAGTTTCTCCTATAAGTGCTATGGTAGAAGTACATTAATTTTTGTGCATAAAAAGGACACATGTTATGATATAGTCTTTTTGTCCCAAACTTCCTTCAGAACCATTGAAGTTGGAAGTTGTCTGAGATGCTGGGTTTTTCCCTCTTCAAACTCATGTATTATCTCTTGAGTTTACTCGTTTGAATTACAATAAGAACTCATAGAGGAATTAATTCAGAGAGGAGAATCAATATCTTAACAGCTGCTAATATATCAGTCTCAGGACTTTTTTTTAAACAAAAGATATCCAGTGCATAACTGTTACTGATAAGCCAAAAAAGAATGTACCTGACTCCTTATGGCTCTCCTGCCCCAATCTTTCCCATCCTTACAGCTCCTCCTTCATTCTTTGGGGGACTTCTTTTTCAATCCAAAGGCACACTCAGCACTTACTCAAGCAATCTTTATGAGCAAATTGATCTACATTATCTTTCATCTTTACAACTATCCTGCCACATAGGCATTACTAAACATACTATATAGATGAGAGGTTAGAGGTAAAGGTCTCTGTTTAAGGCCTCAATCTCATGCTATTTAGTGACAAAGTATGAATTTGACCCAGGTCTGACAGGTCCTAATGTTCCTGCTCTTTTCACTGCACAGAATGGCAGCTATGAGACTTCGGCTTTTTAAACTCTCACAAGAATTTGGAATTCTCAACATTCTTTGTCCTTTATCTTAAAATATTTGGATACTGAAAGGTCTATCCTTATTTATGCTCCTTTTTTCCTTTTTAAAAATTAAAAAATATTGGGTGGGGGATTATCCCTAATTTCACAATTCTCTGAGATTACTCTTATTAATTTTGCATTTTTCCTCTCAACCCTCATTGATGTCGGTTTACATGTTGATGATGTCCTGTTTAGGAGAGAACTGAGTCATGCCAGTCAGGGGAGTCATACGCAGCAGGAGGAAGGACGTGCACAGCAGTTGGTGGGAGAAAGAAAGGAGTCCTGGGTCAATGCCAAAGGAGAGTAAATTTCTGAGGCATCATTCTGGGAAGCAATAAGCTAGTGAACATTTTGAGAAAGAATTGCAATATTCATGAACCAAGAAATAGTTCAAAAGGTGAAGCAAGATGAAAAGCCCAGTAGGAAAGTTAAGAGACTAAAACAAGATGGCCTTAGAGGCCAAAGGAAATAAACATAGACAGGGAGAAGGGTGGTTCAGGAACAAAACCTTTGATTGTCTTTTATGCATTTTTAAAGCATATATCATTAAGGCTCAGTTAAATGTTAATAAGAGTAGAATTTTTGGATCTACCTCTCTATAAGAAGTAACTGTGTTATAGGTATTCAAGTTAACTACTTGATGATATTATTTGGTCCTTCTGAATTCCTTTTTTCTTTACTAATCATGGTGGGAAAGAGAAACACAATATAATCCAGTAGTAAACTTTTATTGAATGCTTAAATGACCTGACAATTTTATGAGAAAAGTATCTTATCATTCTCATTGTACTAATAAGAACATGGAGGCACGAAAATGCTCAGTACTATTCCCAGGGCTGTACAATGGGTAAGAGGCAGAGTGAGGATTTTAATTGATCACTGTGCAATGCATTGAGATAAAATAGTGATCTATATATATATAAAAGCTAAGCGACTGGAATGACGGAACAACCAGAACGATTGGTCGCTATGACTGACGCACACTGCAATGGCCACTGGCCTGATTGGGGTCCTGATTGGCGGGGCCGGCTGGTCAACCTCCCACGTCCCCTCCCCTCTGCCAGCCTGGCCCCTATCGGCCCCTATCACTAGGGGCGGCCAGACCCCACCCATACACAAATTCGTGCACCGGGCCTCTAGTACAGTATAAACAAATGATGACCCAATGAATTCTGCTTGGATGAGGATTAAAGAGAACTCAGCTAATGAGATGATATATCTCCTATAGGTCATCCCATAACTTGGTGCCAATATAAATATTACTGTTTGCCGAGTGTGCTCTCACATAAACATTACCTTTATATTGCTCTTATTTCCCAGACACAAAAGTAGTACATGATCAAGGATTTATCTGATATTTTTTTTACTAAGAAACCCCAAGTCTTAAAGACATTCCCATTCCACAGGACTCAGAGTTCCATTTGTTAATGTTTGTTTCAGAAATTCTAGGTATCATATGCTGAAATGATTCACTGCTTACAGTGAAAATTTTACAAGAAATAGTAAAGTTGGATAACACATCCAAGTCCACATGACAATTTTTATACTTCAGGCAGTTTGCTTAAAAGGAGAGGGTACTTTCTGAACAAAATGTTTCCCTATGAATCGTTCTTCCTGTACATATTATCCTAAGGATAAGAGTAGACTGAGCTAGAAATATTAAATTCCCTTTTCATGGGCATGGTTTCTAACAGAACTCCCTAAAGTAAAAGTTCAACAGAATAAAGGAATGTGATTAATTATCTCCCTAAAACATTTATCAGTTAGAGTGAAAGGCCCAGTTTCTCCATATTTTCCACTTATTTTTTACAGAGAGGAAGGGAGAGAGATAGAGAGTTAGAAACATCGATGAGAGAGAAACATCAATCAGCTGCCTTCTGCACACCCCCTACTGGGGATGTGCCCGCAACCAAGGTACATGCCCTTGACCAGAATCAAACCGGGGACCTTTCAGTTCGCAGGCTGACGCTCTATCCACTGAGCCAAACCGGTTACGGCTTTTCCAGTTATTTTTATGTTGTATGATCATTGGAATAAAAAACGCCAGCGAGAATGTCTACTCCAAATAAAGATAAGGGGAAACCATGGCTAATTCCCGTGCTCAGGAAATGGGGAATTGTAACTAAGGGAGGTTTTTGAAAAGTGATTTTGTTATTCTAAATACTTATTATCATGATACCTGCCTGTAGATGTAAAAAGTGAGGACTCTGAAAGGATTAGTTATCAACACATCACATCATTTCTGAGCAGGATTTTAACAAAATAAAACATAAAAATAAATGTTTTTTATTATTTCTATTTTTCTAATTATGTAACTTTTAATTATGTAAGAACTCTTCATTTTTATCAATTGAATATTTTTTATTGTTTTGGTTTATTAAAGTTTCATTGTATTTTAATGATACTCTTAGATTTGGCAGAGATTTTCCACAACAAGTTACTTTAATTTATCTGAAACTTGGTTTCCTCTTCTGGAAAGTAGAGAAATTAGTTGCCTCTAACCTTAAGGAAATGTTATGGAGATTAAATAATAAGGCATGTAAAGCACTTAGCAGGTGCCAGAACATGGTAAAGGCTCAATGAATGTGGCCATTACTGAAACAGGTTAAACATGGCCAAGATGTTTTCTCTGTGGTTATCATACCCGTGTTGTTCTTCTGCATTGCAGACTGTAATGTCCAGAGATGGCTGTAACAGCATCTCACGTCCCATGTGCTCTTCTTACTGTGTGACTTTGGCCTGCCTCCCATCGAAGGGCTGAAAGTGACCCAGCCCTGATACCCATGACATTCATTTTTCCATTTCATTTGTTTACACAATGCATATTTCTGGAGCACTATATGGCAGCCACAGTGATAGCTCACTAGCAAGGGTAGAGGAGTCTGTCTTCATCAGGTGCAAAGTCTATCAGGGAAGACAGACAATTAAACAAACCATTGAAGTCAATCATACTAAGAGCTGTTATAATGTGAAAACAGGATGGGGTGAACAGTGATGTGCTGAAGCTGACTCCTGCTGGTTCATGAGAGTTGATCGTTACATTTCCAGGAATTTTGAAAACTGGTTATTAAGCATGGCTGTTATTAAAAATTAAATTATGTGAAGATACAATTAAATAAACTATATTAAACACGAAGATAATAACACACTGCACTTTTTAACAAGAGTACTGCAGAGAACTGAAAAGCAGGAAGTAGCCTGTATCCATCTACTGACGGTACATTTTATATTATTAGCTCCAAAGTAAATGTTGAGGGTCTCATTTCTTGGTAAGAAAAGCCAGGGTTGATGCTTTTCTGATCCTAACATGTTTCACCAATTTAAGTTCATTTAATGAAAGCAATTATAGAAACGTCCCACCGGCTCACGTCTTACCTCTGGTCACTCAGTTCCCTTAGTAGTGGTAGACTCAGCAGCTTCTCTGCCAATGTTTTCCATGGTGCTGTTTTTAGTGGTACTTTTCCATTTGCAATATACAGTCCTTCACATCTAGGCTGAAGGAAAACAAGAAAAGTTTTAAACATGGGCTATAGGTCTGGGAGAAATGCCCTTCACTTATGGGCAGTTTTAATGCGTTGGTGTCCCAGAGGACCAGCCTGGACTATTGACTCCTCACAAAAGCTATACATGTATTAAGGAACAAACATGTCTCAGAGGTACCCAGGACTGGACCTCCAGCTTTTCTGGAACATACCCTAGATCAGTGGTCGGCAAACTGCGGCTCGCGAGCCACATGCGGCTCTTTGGCCCCTTGAGTGTGGCTCTTCCACAAATTACCACGTGCGGGCGTGCACGTACAGTGCGATTGAAACTTTGTGGCCCATGCCCAGAAGTCGGTATTTGTGGAAGAGCCACACCTAAGGGGCCAAAGAGCCGCATGTGGCTCGTGAGCCGCAGTTTGCCAACCACTGCCCTAAGATAATGCTATTTCCAGATGTCGCAAACATCTATGATCAGCAGAAGTCATCAGAGTAAAATATTTTAATAGTTTAAAATAATTTTTTGGGGGAAGATCATAGACATAGAAAGTGGTGAGCTCCCGCTGGATGATGTATGAGCTCATGTTGATGGAAAAACCTTCGCCTGTCATGCTGGTGAATGATGTGTCCAGGCCCTGTCACACCCATTACTAGGCCACAGTGGAAAAGTGAAAACAAATAGGAGTAAATTATAGAGACCGTGTTTACAAAGGTTGTTTTGGCATTTCCAGCCCCCCCTTTCTTTTTTCTTCTTTTTGGGGGTGAGGAGAGAAGGGGAAAGAGAGAGTGAGAAACATCAATGTAAGAGAGACACATTGATCAGTTGCATTCCTAATCTGCAACCAAGGTACGTGCCCTTGACCAGAATCAAACCCGGGACCCTTCAGTCCTTGGGCCAATGCTCTATCCATGGAGCAAAAGCAGCTAGGCTCCCCCCGCCTTTTTCTTTTACTAGTAAATCTCTGAATATCCCAACATGTACCATGTATTGACATTGACACCAGATTTTCATAGTTTTGTGGAGGGCCATGGATCTTGAATAGTTTGTGGCCATGACTTACATGTTTTTGGATTCCCATGACTATCTTGAAGTACAAGTTAAATAAAACACTTTTTATATAATTATTTTTTGGAAAATTCTATATTTTTATATGCTTGTGCTAAGTATTCATTTGTCCAGAACAAGAAAAATTCTCCATGGATTTGTATTATTTCAATCCCTAAGAAGAGAATGTGGACAGGCATATAGATTTCAAATGTAATATCTATTGAGTTAAATAAGGTGCCATTTGTTTTGCTAATGGAATCATTCACTATGCCAAAAAGATGTAATGCTGGGCATTTTAAAGATTGTTTTAAAAATCCAGCGAAGAATAGCTTCCAACTTCAGGCTGTAGAAAAATTTCTTGAGAGTTTTTCAGCCATTATGCAACCGGGAAGAAGCCAGCAGGGAATGCCTTTGTTGTGCCAAGGCGAGAATAATGTAAAAAGCCACAGACCTTCGTCCAATTATTCTACTTTTCTAAGTGTGTTGAGACGTCTGCATTTAATTAAGAACTGATGCATTGAGCAGCACTATTTTTATAACAAGAGTGATTTAAAAAAACATTTCTTATGAAAGCCTTATACAAAAATTTTAGTTTTAGTTCTTGTTAAAATAAGATTTTGTTGACTTTCTATCAGAAGGATATGAGGAGCCAGGCACAGCTTCTTTAAGTGCAGTCTTCCAACAGTAGGGCCTTTTAGACAAGGTGGTATGTTTGTCTGACTGTTAAGACTATTATGAAAAGACGTGCAAGGAAGCAGTGTGAAAGCAAGAATGACAGACTTGCAGAGAAGGAAATGAACGGCGGTCTCTTGGTTTAAGTTCACTTCTGCATCAGCCCCCACAGATTTGCACTCATGTTAGACTATGGCTAGGCTTCAGCATTCTGTGTACTTTTATTTCAAGGCTGTGGTGTGCTTCATAAACATTCACTAGAACAAAAATACCTTTAAGAATCTTACTGAATAAATGTAATTTGTCTCAGCCACAGGCCGCCTGCATAGTGGGTCATCCAAATCCAATACTTTTTCATGGACTTTTCTTTCTTCTCTCTTGGGATTGTACAAGAATCAGCCCCTCGCATGGGTCCATTCTTGTCACCACTGAAATACTTGTTTAAGTTCTTTTAAAAATTTATTATTATTATTAAAAATATTTTTATTGATTTCAGAGAGGAAGGGAGAGGGAGATAGAAACATCAATGATGTGAGGGAATCATTGATTGGCTGCCTCCTGCACGCCCCCTATTGGGAATAGAGTCCACAACCTGGGCATGTGCCCTGACCAGGATTGAACCGTGACCTCCTGGTTCACAGGTCAATGTTCAACCACTGAGCCACGCCAGCCAGGCATTGTTCAAGCTCTTATGAACATTCTCAAGTGGGCAACTCTACTGGCTTCTCTTTGCCAAATGTGGCCATCAGTACCTTCACTGCATGAGATGAGGGTGCTTACTGGCTTGATTCTGATTCATGTTGCCACTCTGTCCAGAGGTCTGGGGAGGCAATTTCCAAGGGTGCTTCTCTGAGTAGGATACTAAGCTCTGCTTCTTATGGAAATTGCCACCTACCCATCCTTTTAAACTCATGGAATCCAACTTTCCTGGAGTGAGACCACACCTCCCTTTAACCTCAAAGCCCAAGATCCCCCACTAACTACTAACTGGACAATTTACTTTCTTCCTATTCTAGCCCCGAACTCCACAAAACATTAACACCTCCCTGAGCGAGTGAGTCCAGCATTCACAAAAGAGAGGCCAGGTATAATTTCTATTTGAGGAAATGACCTTCGCAGTCTTTTGCTAATGAGTTCATTTAGCAGTGGGGGGAATTAATAAAGATTTTATTTTATTTTACCATTTATCAATAGCTGTAGATTATCAAAGACATAATCAGATGGTAATGCAGTTGCAATGACAGTTCTGGGTGTGGTATGTTCACCAGAGCAGCATATAAACATAGCCCCTGGCCTGGTGTAGAGCTATTGAGCTAGTAAATGCTTCTTGACAACTCTGTCAGCTAAATTAATAAGATGTAGTTTGCTCTCAAGTAGCAGGGAGAACAGTATACTGATTTGCCTAAGAACTATCTATATCAACTCAACTTCATCTCTGTTATAATGTGTTTTGGAGGGAACTTGATCACCTTGGTATTCTGCGGCACATTATGCTAGTGCAATACTTTGATGAAATTATGTTAATTGCACCTAGTGAGCAGTAACTATCAAGCACCTTCATGCCTTCATCAGATACACAGTGCCAGGGTGTGAGTGAAAAACTGCCAATTTCAAGGATCTGTCACATAGGCAAGGTTTCTGGGTAGCCAGTCACCTTAGTCATATTGGTAATAGCTCTTCTGAATTGAGATGTAAGTTTCTGTGCCTTGCATAGCACACTATAAAGAAGGAGGCATATATTTTGCAAGTTTCTTTGGATCTGGGAGGCTGCATATGCCACATCATGGAATGCTGTTCCTACCATTGGTTAAGAAATCTATAACTCTGACAGTTTTGAGTAGAGCTTAGAGCAAGAAAAACAACCAAGGCTTTTCAGCAAGTCTGTGCTGCTCATGGTTATGACCTATGAGACCCAATGGTGTTAAACATTTGTTTCAGACAGAGAGGTTGTGGAGAGTAATGATATATATGAGACATGTCTAAGAAAAGGCAGAGGCACAAATAAACAGCATTCCCCCCCACTCCCCCCGGGAAGCTACTCTTACTGCTTTCTTGCTTTTTCCTCAGAGTAGACCTATAGTTTCATGGGGAATTCTCTGTGGCCAGGATGAAGGATGGGGAAAAAGAATGGACATGGTTTATGAATGGATAGCATGTGGGCATCAAACAGAAATGGATAGCTGCTGAGTTACAGCCTCACTTAGGGTGGCACAGTGATAAAAGAAATTTTCTCATGGGCAATCATCTGGTTGTCCACTTAATGTGGAAGGAGAAATAGCCTGAAGTATGGATTTCCATAAACCAGATAGGGCAGCAGTTAAAGTTTTAGAAAAAACAAAATAGGAAGATTGGTGACAATATGGAGGTGAGTTATGTGGATGGGACTCGCAGCATGGGCAGGGTGGGAGAATATGTGCCCCGTATAAACACCCATTAGAGGGCATTCCAGTAGTAAACAAGTGCTTTTAATAATTGAGTGGATAAGATTATCACTCCTAGGGATGTCAGTCAGCCTCTCTTCTTCTCACCATTCATATGATTGGTCAATGGAGGAATATACAGTAGGTAAGATAGCATGGATGGAGGTTATGCATAAGGCTTACCAAGATGGGCACACTGTCACCAAGGCTGACTTGTCAACACCATCACTGTGTGTCTCATCAGCCTATAGCAGAGGCTATTGTTGAGCTCCCAATATGACACAATTCATGATGTTCAGGTCCATTTCCTGGAACCATTGAATGGCATCTGAAGGCTCACTTTTGGCACCACCCATAGATAAATCCTATGAGGACAGGTGCTGTCTACAGGATGCAGTATATGCCTTTAACCAGTGGCCAATAAAAGGTGCCATCTTTCTCAATGCTGGAGGTGAGAGTGAACTTTCCAAGTATTTTATGAAATATTTATTTGGGGAAATTTTTCTATAACCTTGGTCTGAGTAGGTTTATAGTACTGGAGGAAGACAACTATTAGTTTGGGAATGTAATAGTAGTTCCACTGAATTAGAAGGGGAGACTGCCCACTGGCCATTTTAGGCTAATGAAGTATAGACAGGCTATTGTACTGGCTGGGGTGATAATTCTGATTATCAAGGGGAAATTGAATTATTATTATACAGTGAGCATGAGGAAGACTATTTCTGGAACCCAAGTGGGGCTCATAGCTACTTAGGACTCTATTACCTATGGCCCTTGGAAATAGAAACTATGGCAATAGTCAAGATAGGACCACCAAAGGCATTAGCTCATATAAGACTAAAGCTTTGATTCAGGAAACCAGATTAAGAACCCAT